ACCGCTGGCCAATCAGATAGCTCAGATCACCGTGTTTGTATAGTTTCCTCGAGCCATAGACCGTAAAAAGAAGCCTCAAACACACAGCAAAGTTGATAATGATTTCAAAAATGGTAAAAACCATGACTAGAGAGAGACTCAACAAATACAGCAAGTAAGTTCCTGTTTAAGTTCTTATTCAGCACTGTCAACACTTTGTTCAACACTGTTATAAGCCATAAAATGCCAGTTTTCTCTACTTCCACTCACGCTACAACTGCAATGAATGAGTATAGCAAAGTTTTCCGATAAGCTTGCATTGTTATTATTAGCGGCTTGTGTCTTGTTTACTATCAAGGAATATTTCACTTTCACTTTTCAACAGTAAAGCATCCTGAGACCATTCATGTGTGGGGTTGCTTCTCAGCCAAGGGAGTGGGCTCACTCACAATTTTGCCTAAGAACATAACCATGAATAAAGAATGGTACCAACACATCCTCCGAGAGCAACTTCTCCCAACCATCCAAGAACAGTTTGGTGACAACCAATGCCTTTTCCAGCATGATGGAGCACCTTGCCATAAGGCAAAAGTGATAACTAAGTGGCTCGGGGAACAAACATCGAAATTTTGGGTCCATGGCCAGGAAACTCCCCAGACCTTAATCCCATTGAGAACTTGTGGTCAATCCTCAAGAGGCGGGTGGACAAACAAAAAACCCACAAATTCGGACAAACTCCAACCATTGATTATGCAAGAGTGGGCTGCCATCAGTCAGGATGTGGCCCAGAAGTTAATTGACAGCATGCCAGGGCGGATTGCAGAGGTCTTGAAAAAGAAGGGTTAACACTGCAAATATTGACTCTTTGCATAAACTTCATGTAATTGTCAATAAAAGCCTTTGACACTTATGGAATGCTTGTAATTATACTTCAGTAAACCATAGTAACATCTGACAAAAATATCTAAAAACACTGAAGCAGCAAACTTTGTGAAGACCAATACTACGACTGTACTCTTCTGTCTAACTCTGTCCCCAGTAATTCATAGGCCATTGGAATTCTATTGGTCCTGGAGTGCCGCAGCCACTTCATGTTTTAGATTGAACGGACCTGGAGGACCAGGTGTGTGGAATGTAGGCAATCACTGAACTGATCAATTAGCTCAGCTGGTGGGGTGTGGTGCCTAGTTGGAACAAAATCCTGCAGTACCTGCGGCACTCCAGGAGCAGGGTTGCCTACCCCTTTTTTCTATTGCGTTGGTATGGCAACCTCTAGACTTGGGCCTAATATATTATTTTGATAATCAAAACATTCATGGAGTTAATCATGCTTGAAGTTGGAGCTTTAACTGTGTTTATTGAGCCACTATTGAGTATAGTGCTTTCTGCATAAAATACAGTGCCTTGCAAAAGTATTCATCCCCCTTGGCGTTTTTCCTATTTTGTTGCATTACAACCTGTAATTTAAATGGATTTCTATTTGGATTTCATGTAACGGACATACAGAAAATAGTCAAAATTGGTGAAGTGAAATGAAAACATTACTTGTTTAAAAGAATTCTAAAAAATAAATAACGGAAAAGTGGTGCGTGCATATGTATTCACCCCCTTTGCTATGAAGCCCCTAAATAAGATCTGGTGCAACCATTTACCTTCAGAAGTCACATAATTAGTTAGATTGCACACAGGTGGACTGTATTTAAGTGCCACATGATACACCTGTTCTGAAAGGCCCCAGAGTCTGCAACACCACTAAGCAAGGGACACCACCAAGCAAGCGGCACCATGAAGACCAAGGAGCTCTCCAAACAGGTCAGGGACAAAGTTGTGGAGAAGTACAGATCAGGGTTGGGTTATAAAAAAATATCAGAAACTTTGAAAATCCCACGGAGCACCGTTAAATCCATTATTAAAAAATTGAAAGAATATGGCACCACAACAAACCTGCCAAGAGAGGGCCGCCCACCAAAACTCACGGACCAGGCAAGGAGGGCATTAATCAGAGAGGCAACAAAGAGACCAAAGATAACCCTGAAGGAGCAGCAAAGCTCCACAGCAGAGATTGGAGTATCTGTCCATAGGACCACTTTAAGCCGTACACTCCACAGAGCTGGGCTTTACGGTAGAGTGGCCAGAAAAAAGCCATTGCTTAAAGAAAAAAATAAGCAAACACATTTGGTGTTCGCCAAAAGTTATGCATGCTGAAGTTTTCAGTTTTTTTGTCTTATTTCTTGTTTGTTTCACACACAAAAAATATTTTGCATCTTCAAAGTGGGAGGCATGTTGTGTAAATGAAATGATAGAAACTCCCCAAAAATCTATTTTGAATACTTTCGCAAGCCACTGTAGTTGTTTGAGGGTTCAATGTTACCGGACAAAAATGCATATTATCTGTAATCCTAATAACTAGTGGCTATCTTTCTCCAAAGAATTCTTGCTTTGTTTCGTTTTTAGGATAATTACAATAATCACTTGCCTATATCCTTAGTTTAGCCCAGTTGAATACATCCCTTCCTCCCAGATTAGGAGCCCAGTCGGCCATCGTGCATGATTCATACTCTAGTGCTTGTTCCTTTTTGCAATTCTATTGTTGGATTCTATTGCATTGGGTAACATGTGGATGAACAAATCATATTATTCTGATATTGAAACTTGGTGGATGTGGTGTTGACCCCTACGGTCAAGGCATACTTGAAGGTAGTGTTTTTAATTAATGGTGATTATTGAATTAGCCTTCCTTCTCTGCTAAATATAGTGCCCATTATTTATTTGAGTCTAAATATATTATGTTACACTAAAACAGGCTTAATCTGTAATCCTTATTGTGAGAGATGTTGTTGAATATGTTGATTTGAGTCAATGATGTCTGTTACGTAGCCTGCATAATTTATAATAATTTGCCATAATGTCCAAATTGTATGAATTAAATTGTGTGAATGGTCTTGTAAGAAACTCTGGGTCATAATGACTTAAAATAGAACTTTCCAACAGACAAACGGGTTATTGTTTTGAGTAGTAAGTCAGATCTATATGCCTACAATAGTTCTGGTATGATATGATAATGGTCCCGTGTAGCTCAGTTGGTAGAGCATGGCGTTTGCAATGCAGGGTTGTGGGTTCGTTTCCCACGGGGGGACCAGTATGAGAAAAAAGAAATGTATGCACTAACTGTAAGTCGCTCTGGATAAGAGCGTCTGCTAAATGACTAAATGTAAAAATAATCAGGAAAATAACCCGAAATTTACAGAAAAGACTACTATTATCTGAGATAAATTGATGTTAGTTTGTACTTGCAATTGTGCAGTTATGTGAACCTTAAGCTTCGGCTTAAGCACGTTTGGAATACAAAGGTATACAGTAGTAATACCTTTGCCTGTGGAAAATTATTATTGTTTTGGATAGGCTTAAATTTGTTATGATGTTCTTACTGTGGAATGCAGAGTTTGGTTTTCGCCAGGCATTACTGGAACCATGTCGTCCAAAAAGTTATACTTTTGAATCATCTGTCCATAGAACGTTCTTCCAAGAGACTTGATGATCATCCAGGTGCTTTTTGGCAAACTTGAGTCAACTTTTTGGACGAGATAGGTCCCATTATGCCTGGTGAAAACCAAACACTGCATTCCACAGTAAGAACATCATACCAAAGGTCAAGCATGGTGGTGGTGCTGTTATGGTTTGGGGATGCTTTGCTGCCTCAGGACCTGGACGACTTGCCTTAATAGAAGGAACCATGAATTCTGCTCTGTATCAGAGAATTCTACAGGAGAATGTCAGACCATCCGTCTGTGAGCTGAAGCTGAAGCGCAGCTGGGTCATGCAGCAAGACAATGATCCAAAACACACAATCAAGTCTACATGAAAATTGCTAAAAAGCAACAAATTTGACGTTTTGGAATGGCCTAGTCAAAGTCCAGACCTAATCCAAATTGAGATGTTGTGGCAAGAATTGAAACGAGGAGTTCATGCTTGAAAACCCACACGTCACTGAGTTAAAGCATTTCTGCATGGAAGAGTGGCCCAAAATTCCTCCACAGCGACGTGAGAGACTGATCAACAACTACAGGAAGCATTTGGTTGGAGTCATTGCAGCTAAAGGTGGCACAACCAGTTACTGAGTGTAAGGGGGCAATTACTTTTTCACACAGGGGAATTGGGTGTTGCATAACTTTGTTTATGAAATAAATGAAATAAATATGTAATTGTTGTGTTATTTGTTCACTTATGTTCCCTTTATCTAATATTAGGTTTTGGTTGAAGATCTGATAACATTCAGTATCACAAATATGCAAAAGTAGAGAAAATTAGAAAGGGGGTAAATACTTTTTCATAGCACTGTACACATGCGCCAATGACAGGATAGCGCCAAACCTACCGAGTTGATTTATGATTTCTACAATGTTTTCATTATATGTCTGGACTTTTCACTCTATTTTTTTACAGTTTGTATCGTGTCAAATATTAGCCATTATCAGTTATACCCACATATAACTGTCACTTTAGTGTTAGTTCCCTTACATTTTGCATGATTCCAGTACATCGCTAGTTTACCTTTCTTTCCTCTGTCATGTTCGTGTGGTTGTTCCCGATGATCGCAAGCAATAGCGGATTATATTAGGCTAACGTATTACAAGTTGTGCAATAATTTGGGACATGTAACCTCTTGGAATCATTATGTAACGCAGACCACACGTAGCAGTTTAAACCTGGAGCCTGGCGCACGGTTCACCATGACTGGACCGTTGTCATCACAGTTCCATGATTAGAGAGGATTATTAGGGTAGATTTACAGGACTATTGGTCAACCCCTATTGGACACACTTCTCACCTTCCAATATTTATTGGATTGAACAATTTGTTTATGGCAACTTTCAGGATGAATCAAACCACTGTATTTTTGATTCACCATTATATTTTGTGCGTTAAAGACGCTCCAAGTATTCATAAATACTTTCCTAACCCCCCCCCCCCCCCCTTCTCATCCCTCCATCTCAGAGTACGAGGAGGAGGAGTGGAGCGACTGGTCGCCATGCAGCGTCACCTGCAGCCATGGCAACCAGAAGCGTATCCGTTCCTGTGGTTACGCGTGCACGGCGACCGAGTCCCGGACCTGCGACCTGGACAGATGCCCAGGTGAGATAGACACCGGTAGTTCCAAATACCATCTGTCTCCTTTCCTTCGTGATCACTGATGCCAAAGGACTTCATAAGTGTTGCAGCAATGATTACAGGTCAGTTGCTTGTGTATCTTGTACAGTGATCGTACCATTAGGCTCTTCCTGATGGGTCAGCCTGATGCTTCCAACACAGGGCTCTTTACATCAGTGGAATGGGCTCAGTCCAGTTGGGATTTGGACCAACGTGATGTTGGCTCCTGTTTTCAGTAGTGAGCTGCCTGCCTGTTGCTCCCCTGCGGAGTCATGGTGTGTACACAGCTCTATGGCTGTTACACTCCGCTCAATAGAGGCTTGTACGGCTGACCAGTAGAGTAGAGGAGATTGTGTGTGTGTGTGTGTGTGTGTGTGTGTGTGTGTGTGTGTGTGTGTGTGTGGTGTGTGTGTGTGTGTGTGTGTGTGTGTGTGTGTGTGTGTGTGTGTGTGTGTGTGTGTGTGTGTGTGTGTGTCTGTGTGTGTGTGTGTGTGTGCGCGCATTAATACCTAGCTAAATGCTTGTGTTCCTAGCTCCAACAGTGCATTAATACCTAGCTAAATGCTTTTGTTCCCAGCTCCAACAGTGCAGTAATCAAAGCTAAATGCTTGTGTTCCTAGCTCCAACAGTGCATTAATACCTAGCTAAATGCTTTTGTTCCCAGCTCCAACAGTGCAGCAATCAAAGCTAAATGCTTGTGTTCCTAGCTCCAACAGTGCATTAATACCTAGCTAAATGCTTGTGTTTCTAGCTCCAACAGTGTAGTAATACCTAGCTAAATGCTTGTGTTCCCAGCTCCAACAGTGCAGTAATACCTAGCAAGAAAATAAACTATACACACATAATCCAGAAAAATACAAAACAATTAGTTGTATGTAAACATTATTAAAGTGATCAGTGTTCAATGACTCTATGTACGTAGGGCAGCAGCCTCTAAGATGCAGGGTAGAGTACTGGGTGGTAGCCGGCTAGTAACAGTGACTAAGGTTGAGGGCAGAGTACTGTGTGGAGGCCGACTAGTGGTGACTGTTTAACAGCTACCCAGTGAAACTTACTTTTTTCTCCCTTTTTGTGGTATGTAGTGCTATCCAATCAGCAGGTTTCATAATGTCTCTTCCCCCTCTCTCTCTCTGTAGATGACCTCCTAGCAGTGACTGAGATGATGCCTCTGGAGAAAATGAATGGCACTGACTCCCTTGACACAAGTACGCTTGTTGCAATGTGTATATGACAAGTTTGTGTCTGTTTGTGTGTGTTTGTGTGTGTGTGCGTGTGTGGGTGTGTGTGCGTGCGTGTGCGTATGTGTGTGTGTGTGTGCGTATGTGTGTGTGTGTGTATGCCTGTAGCCAACAGGGCCTGTTGTAGTATTTGGTGTCCTTAATGGTCTGTTCCGTTTAGGGGGATTTAAACTGCTCTACTGGGGCACCAATCATAGAGGGACTGTGGGAGTCCAGTTAGGGTAGTCAGAAAACCCCCTCCCTCCATCGCGTTAAGGATTGCTCCACAGAGAGTGTTGCACAGCCAATGAAAAACCTGACTGTTCCTCCAAAAAAATGGTTGAATCGTTCTTTAGTTTTGTATTTTATTACTCTCTCTACCAGTGACAGTGATAGATCTCTTCACTCCAAGCGATAATAACAAAGAATACAACTATGAAAACATAACAAGATAAAGTGTCTTTCCCCAATCCTCTACCGAACATACTGTAAATGCTTAAAATGAAAAGGATCCAATTTGACCACAGCCTGTAACATAGATGTTATTCTCTGGCACCAAGTACAGCCGTGGCTGAGTTTTTCAACCCGCTCTCGTTCGCGCTTCGTTGTCTTTGAGAGCTTTGCAGGCCCCCAGTTTAAAGTAAAGGGTTTTAAGGCGCTGAAATCATTCCTTTATGCATGGGAAGTCTCTCTCTCTCTCTGGTTTCCTCAGGGTAATCAATGCTGTCTTAATGTATAATCCTCCCCAGTTGTGTCAAATTGGCTGGATGTCCTTTGGGTGGTGGACCATTCTTGATACACATGGGAAACTGTTGAGTGTGAAAAACCCAGCAACGTTGTAGTTCTTGACACAAATCGGTGCGCCTGGCACCTACTACCATACCCCGTTCAAAGGCACTTAAATATTTTGTCTTGCCCATTCATCCTCTGAATGGTACACATACACAATCCATGTGTCAATTGTCTCAAGGTTTCAAAATACTTCTGTATACCTTTCCTGCAGTCAAATAAACTAGTGGCATCATGGGTGGAATTTATTCATATTTTTCATAATTTCATAATTAATCAACATTATTTCCGCCGAAAATCCAGTATTTGTATGTCAAACAGTTTAGTTATATTTCAGTCTTCTGTGATGTATATAACATTCAATAATGGGATGCAAACTCAAAATGGAATACATTTCAACTCTATATCTGACATGGTACAGGTGTCTTCTTTTGTGTAAGCCCATAACCATGTGTGTGAGGTGTATACTTTTGTTTCAAAGTAGATTTGTTTAAGACTACCAGGAAACACTCTGTGTGACCCTGATTTAACCCAATACAGTAAAAGGTTAACCTGTCTTCTCCCCTTCATCTACACTGATTGAAGTGGATTTAACAGGTGACATCAATAAGGGATCATACAGTGCCTTGCAAAAGTATTCATCCCCCTTGCCATTTTTCCTATTTTGTTGCATTACAACCTGTAATTTAAATTGATTTTTATTTGGATTTCATGTAATGGACATACACAAAATAGTCAAAATTGGTGAAGTGAAATGTTTTTAAAAAATCTACAAAATAAATAACGGAAAAGTGGTGCGTGCATATGTATTCACCCCCTTTGCTATAAACCTCTAAATAAAGATCTGGTGCAACCAATTACCTTCAGAAGTCACATAATTAGTTAAATAAAGTCCACCTGTGTGCAATCTAAGTGTCACATGATCTCAGTATATATATACACCTGTTCTGAAAGGCCCCAGAGTCTGCAACACCACTAAGCAAGGGGCACCACCAAGCAAGCGGCACCATGAAGACCAAGGAGCTCTCCAAACAGGTCAGGGAGAAAGTTGTGGAGAAGTACAGATCAGGGTTGGGTTATAAAAAAAATTCAGAAACTTTGAACATCCCACGGAGCACCATTAAATTCAGTATAAAAAAAATGGAAAGAATATGGCACCACAACAAACCTGCCAAGAGAGGGCCGCCCACCAAAACTCACGGACCAGGCAAGGAGGGCATTGATCAGAGAGGCAACAAAGAGACCAAAGATAACCCTGAAGGAGCTGCGAAGCTCCACAGCGGAGATTGGAGTATCTGTCCATAGGACCACTTTAAGCCGTATACTCCACAGAGCTGGGCTTTACGGAAGAGTGGCCAGAAAAAAGCCATTGCTTAAAGAAAAAAATAAGCAAACACATTTGGTGTTCGCCAAAAGGCATGTGGGAGACTCCCCAAACATATGGAAGAAGGTACTCTGGTAGGATGAGACTAAAATTGAGCTTTTTGGCCATCAAGGAAACGTTATGTCTGGCGCAAACCCAACACCTCTCATCACCCCGAGAACACCATCCCCACAGTGAAGCATGGTGGTGGCAGCATCATGCTGTGGGGATGTTTTTCATCGGCAGGGACTGGGAAACTGGTCAGAATTGAAGGAATGATGGATGGCGCTAAATACAGGGAAATTCTTGAGGGAAACCTGTTTCTGTCTTCCAGAGATTTGAGACTGGGACGGAGGTTCACCTTCCAGCAGGACAATGACCCTAAGCATACTGCTAAAGCAACACTCAGTGGTTTAAGGGGAAACATTTAAATGTCTTGGAATGGCCTAGTCAAAGCCCAGACCTCAATCCAATTGAGAATCTGTGTATGACTTAAAGATTGCTGTACACCAGCGGAACGCATCCAACTTGAAGGAGCTGGAGCAGTTTTGCCTTGAAGAATGGGCAAGAATCCCAGTGGCTAGATGTCCCAAGCTTATAGAGACATACCCAAGAGACCTGCAGCTGTAATTGCTGCAAAAGGTGGCTCTACAAAGTATTGACTTGGGGGGGGGGGGGGGTGAATAGTTATGCATGCTCAAGTTTTCAGTTTTTTTGTCTTATTTCTTGTTTGTTTCACAATACAAAATATTTTGCATCTTCAAAGTGGTAGGCATGTTGTGTAAATCAAATGATACAAACCCCCCAAAAAATCAATTTTAATTCCAGGTTGTAAGGCAACAAAATAGGAAAAATGCCAAGAGGGGTGAATACTTTCGCAAGCCACTGTAGCTTTCACCTGGATTCTTCTGGTCAGTCTATTTCATGGAAAGAGCAGGTGTTCTTAATGTTTTGTACACTCAGTGTATATGATTGACTCCTACTGTATGTGATTGACTTCTATATGTTTGACTCCTATATGATTTCTCTCCTCCCCAGATGTGGACAGCTGTGATAAGTGGCTAAGCTGTAAGAACGACTTCCTCCAGAAGTATCTCCACCAGGTGCTGACCGAACTACCCAGCTGCCCCTGCTTCTACCCGTCCGAGGCCGTCTACAACGCCGTCAACATCTTCGACAAGACGCTGCGTAAGACCTACCGCTGGCGTGACGCCTCCGGCCCCAAAGAACGCCTGGACATATACAAGCCCTCTGCTCACTTCTGCACACGCTCCATGCTCTCCTTCAACAGCACCACGCTGGCCGCGCAGCACTGCTGCTACGACGACCACAGGAAACTTATCACGCGGGGTAAAGGGGCGGGTGCTCCGAACCTCATCAGTACGGAGTTCTCGCCGGAGCTGCATTACAAAGTGGACGTGCTGCCCTGGATCCTGTGTAAAGGGGACTGGAGCCGCTTCCACTCGGTGAGGCCGCCCAACAATGGGCTGCTGTGTCCCGACAACCCCCCCGAGGAGGTCCACAAGGCCCAACTGGAGGAGGCCAGGGAGTACTGAGGGGGAGGAGTACTGAGGGAGGAGAGGGGGAGGAGAATTGAAACCCTGCGGGGGAAGAGGTGGAGAGAGGGGGTAGAAAGAGCCACGTGGTTCCCAATTATGGCGCTGTTGTATTTTAGCATGGGCCACATACTGAGTATGTTGTGGATATCCCAGCTCCTCCTTATTCAGTGTTTGGTCACATTGTGGCACAGAGTTTAATGACGACTGAAATTTGACATTTCTCCAATCAGGCAACCCGGCAGCCACCCATCCAAAATGGAGTCAAGTTGAGCTCCTCTCTTGCAGTGGAGTACTCTGGGGTGCATGGAAAAAACTCTATGAGAGTCCCATCTTAATGGTGTGTTATTATGACATCATCACCATCAAGCACTTCACTCATTGGATGACTCATCAGGATCCACCGGCCAATTGGAATATGCTCTTCCATGGATGATGTACTGTGGTATTACAGGAAGAGAAAAAAACTATTTTCTAACTTGCTGGTAGTGTATTGCTTGTGAAAGTCTGGATTTTGGAGAGCGTTTTTGGGGGCTACATTCATACACTGTTCAGTGGTGTAAAGTACTTAGGTAAAAATACTTTAAAGTACTACTTAAGTCGTTTTTTGTGGTATCTGTACTTTACATTGCTATTTATATTTTTGACAACTTTTACTTTTACTTCACTACATTCCTAAAGAAAATAATGTAAGTTTTACTCCATACATTTTCCCTGACACCCAAAAGTACTCGTTACATTTCGAATGCTTAGAAGGACAGAGAAATGGTCCAATTCACACACATCAAAAGAACATTACCTGGTCATCCCTATAGCCTCTTATCTGGCAGACTCACTAACACAAATGCTTCATTTGTAAATTATTGGTGTGCCCCTGGCTATCCGTAAATTAAAAAAACAAGACAAGTGTGCCGTCTGTTTTGCTTAATTTAAGAAATTTGAAATGATTCATACTTTAAGTTTTGATACCAAATAATGTTTTACTTTTACTCAAGTAGTATTTTACTGGGTGACTTTCACTTTTGCTTAAGTCATTTTCTATTAAGGTATCTTTACTTTTACTCAAGTATGAAAATTGGGTACGTTTTCCACCACTGACACTGTTCAATCAGCTAAACTGAAAAAGAAGAAAAAACTATTGTTTGTGAATGTTAGGAAAGTTTGGAGAGGGAGAGATGAGATGAGATGGTCCTAGTTATTCCCCCCACCACCAAGCCCCCGACCCTCCACACCCATAGACACATGTGCTGCTGCTATTGAGAAGAGGGATGGGTATAGAGGGATGGGTACAGGGGATGGGTACAGAGGGATGGGTACAGAGGGATGGGTACAGAGGGATGGGGTACAGAGGATTGGGTACAGGGGGATGGAAGGGCTCAGTGGTTGCCATGGAGTGTTCTAGAACCTCTGAGTGAGTGTGGTGGAACATGGTAATTTGGGACCTTTTATTGTATTTACTACGGCTGTTACGGTGACCGTATTACCGTCATACCGGCGGTCACGAGTCATGACTGCTGTCAAATTCCACGTGACCGTTTAGTCACGGTAACTAGGCTTCCCCAAGCTCTGATGCTGCTGATGGTCATTAGTAGCCTACCAAACTTGCTAACTGCCTGGTACTCAGCACTCTATTGTCCCTCTAATCACTGTGACATCAATGCAAATGTTTTTGAAAATCAAATCAAACACTCCATGAGTCATGTGCCGCAACATTTCTATAGGCTGTGCATGAGGGGGCCATGAGAAAAAAATGTTTTTGATGGCCCTCTATTAAAAAAGAGGGAATCCCATCAGCCTTTCTATTAGCTTACTTATATTTATTCTCAAACTTCCCTAATTATTAAGTGAATTGCTTTATCTCTACAACAGGAGTAGTTATATAGCCTACCTTGGCTGGCAGAAAATGAAAAAAATGAACCACAGGAAAAGGGGGGGGAAGGATGGCCCTTACACCCCTGTGGTGGGGGTCCGACGTGGGGGGAGTCCTCATCGTGTCGTTACAGCGCGAGGGGGGGGGGTGAAGAGGCGGGCGTATTGGCGTCTCATAGGGGCTGGTTGGGCAGGGGTGAACGGGGCAGCGGGCTGAAGCGTAATGGCGTTTGAGGCGTATGGAGTTGGACAGTTGATTACCGCCTGGAATATAAGTACTAATCGCAGTTTCAGGTTCCTCCCCTCCCGCCTCCTGGTGTGGCACGCAACCAAAAAAGGGAGTTGAGGACGGGGGATGGGATGGGATTGCTGGGGGCTCAGTTTTGATGGATGGAGGTCCTTTCTCCAGGAGCGAGGGGGGCATCTGATGCGATAACCTATTAATAGTGGGGAAGTGGGAGAGAAGAAGAGAATCGTGTACACAGTGGGGAACCCCCCTTTTGAAAGAGCTCTCTCCTTCTATCCTCATCCCCCCCCTCTCTCTCTCCTCCTTGGTCCCTTCTCTCTATCTACAACCACCCTGGACCTTGGCCTTGACCTGATGTGTTGTGATGGAGTTGGTGGGAAGGGAGAAGAAGAAAAAGGGGGAGGGGAAGGGAGAGAGGGGGGAAAGGAGGAGAGGGGTACGGGGGCAGGGGGGGGAGAGAAGGAGAACGGGAAGTCTGGGGGGAGGGAAGGAGAGAGAGCAGAGTATGAGAGAGAGAGAGCTCGAGAGACGAGAGCGAGCAGAGCGAGAGGTAGACGGAGAAAGAGCTATCGAGAGAGAGAGATATCGCGAGAGAGCATCGATCTATAGCTCTCGTGCGCGAGTGCTCGCGATCTCTCTCTTCGTCTCTATCTCTCTCTCGCCTCTCTATCTCTCTAGCGCTAGCTCTCGTGCTCTCTCTCTCTCTCTCTCTCTCTCTCTCCCTCCCTCCCACATCCCCATCTTTTCTGGCAGGTGCATAGGGCAGCAACAAAGGTTGTCCACTTCTGTCGGTCTCTGGCCATCTTCTCCACCAGCTCTGTCTCCTATGTATGTGCAGGCTTACCTGTTTTATCAGACCAATAACAGTCAGATACATATTGTTGTGGTATGATAATGAAGGAAGAAACGATAGCTTGCAAATAAACAGGCTTACAGGCTAGCAGGCTAGCAGGCTAGCAGGATAAAATGATTCTATACGGGTCTGTTTTGGATGGTTTCTTCAAAAGAGACAACAGTTCTTAAGTATTTTTAATGTTGGACATGACCTTGCCCCCAGTTACCTGTCTGTTTAATTAATTTCATAGGAGGGACTCTCATAGCCGGATCACCCAGAGCCAGTGTTGCAATATCCAGAACGCTGCGCTTCTTCCTTAAACTTTTGAGCAGAGGAAGAGGAATGGAATGGTTGTTTTGTAACCTAAACCATATAAAAAACATCCCTACGCTAGGAGAAGGGAGTTTTAAAACAAACCTTAAGAAATGGTTAATAGGGAAAGTGCTTCAAGACAGAACAGGCTAAGAAAAGTACTGTTTCCTCTCTATTGAGACTCATTTTCTTCTCATGTGTTTTCAAGAGGACCACAGTGGAAAAAACGTTTTCAGACCTTTTTATTTAGTATGCATTGTATCACAAGTTGGTGGATGGGTTTTAAAAACTGTCCCAAAAAATCGAGAGAGAGGAGAGAGAGAGAAGGATGAGCAGACCCCCTGACGGAGATTCGGAGAGATGGAGACGGTGTGATGGAGGATGAGAGAGAGAGAGAGAGAGAGAGAGAGAGAAGAGAGAGGAGAGAGAAGAGAGAGAGAGAGAAAGAGAGAGAGGAGAGACGGAGAGAGAGAGAGAGAGAGGAGATGAGAGAGAGAGATGAGAGGAGAGAGGAGAGAGAGAGAGAGAGAGAGAGATATTTGAATGGAGAAAGAGGAGGGAGTAACACTCCAGGGTCTTGTAGGCTCATCACAGAATAGCTATCTGGCCATGTCACAGCCATCTGGCACTGTAATAGTCTAATTGCCTCCACATTAGGCATTGCTGTGATGCCTGCCCCAGGACGAGGGCTGCCGCTACACCAGCCAAGTCAGGTGCTGCCCTCGGCGGCTGTGTGGCTGGGGGGGTCACAGGATCACACACTCACCCCCCCCCCCCCTAAATAATATCACACCTTATCTACCCCCAAACCACACCTCACCCTCTGCCTCCAAACCAACCCTCAACCTCTGCCCCCACATCACCCCGGAACATTCCCACACCCCAAAGCCCTCCCTCTCCTCTCCCTCCATATAGAGGGGAAACACACTCTAACCCCCTGCCTGCTCCCTCCCCTTAGCTCACTTCTAAACCCTGTAACCTGTCAACCTTATCCTAGTAGAAGGTTTCTGCTCTGCCATCTGAATGGTCTGGGTCTGTTGTTCCTTTAAAACAGAATCTATTTAGCTATCTTGATTTTAGAGATCAGGTAATGGAGAACATGCGCCTAAGATGTCACATAAACGTGCTGTGAGTTTGATTACTTTTTGCCCGTTCACAATCCTATCACCTTATACAGCGTGACCGTCGGCCTCATAATTAACATCTAAAAACCCTAGAAGACATTTGGCACTTTTTATATTACTCAATATTGTTCCTTTCCAACCAAAACAAGACCTCTGCTCTGGGCTTGCCTTTGAAGCGGAACACTCCGGAACACTTCCAAACTCACTCACCCATAATGTTGTTTTTCTATCAATGGAAATGCCAAGCAGCAACGACGATCTCCGGCAGCTCGTGAGTTAAAGGGGAATATTTACTGTGTCCTGTGCTTTATGGGGCCCCTGCTAGCCCCTGCGGTAGCCAGTCTCTCACACACAAACACACACACAAACACACACACACACACACACACTCTCACACACACTCACACTCACACTCACACTCACACTCTCACACACACACACACATATGAAGGACTAAAAGGTAAGTACCCCAGAGGGTCATGCCAAGATAACGCTACCTGTTTGGACTGAAATCAGCCTGGGAGGCGTTGCTTTGTTTCCTGTTTGGAGAGGAAATTATGCTGAGGTTTGACTATAAACTGGGGAACAGACACACACACACACATACACACACACAGGGGAACAGACACACACACATACATACACACACACACACACACAGGGGAACAGACACACACACAAAAACACATACACACACACACACAGGGGAACAGACACACACACGGGGGAATGGGTCAGGTGGACAGGGGATTATTTATGTGTATTTGCTGTGTGCTAATTTAATGACACAGGAGGTCAACCATATGGACTTTCAAACTTACAAACACACACACAGATGCACACACACATGAACACGCACACACACACACACACACACACACACTGTCAAAACTGTTGTGTTCTATACTATTGATTCCTCTTTATATTGACAGTGTAAATCCAGTCCATTGTTGCTATCCATACTACCTCTTCTGTTACCTCTACTAATTGTTATTATGGACGTGACACTTTTCATTGTTATTATTGATTAATGATTAATGTACTGCATTGTTGAGGGAACTAGCATGTAAGCATTTCTCTTCACCTTTTATACCTGCTGTAGACTGTGTACGTGACAAATACATTTCATTTGATTTTAACTGTGACCATTTGGACAAACGATCAGTGTCCCAAATCTCTCATTTATTGGGAGGTAAGGTCATTTTGATGTACGATTCCTCTACTATAACAACGTTTTCCAACAGATCAGATGTGTATTTTTTACGTTCATCACCTGCAAAACAAAGAAGCAACCTAAAATGCTGTTAGAGAAGAGAAGAGAGGAAGGGAGGGAGCGAATCAAAGAAAGAGAGAAAAACACAAAGGAAGAGAGAAAGACAGAGAGGAAACAGAGAAAGACAGGGGAAACAGAGACAGGTAGGGAGGTAGAGAGCAACTTCTCCTTCTCAAAAAGAAAGAAAGTGGGAATGAGAGAGAGAAACGCATACCAACAGAAAAAGAGAGAGAGGGTTGAGGTTAGTTTTTACGAGTGACGGAGGGGCTGTTAGTACAGGGGAGTGATCCAAGGCAGAGAGTGACTCCAGATGGGCTCTGCTGTAACAGTCAGAACAGCGGAGAGGAGAGGAGAAGAGAGGAGAGGAGAGGAGAGGAGGAGAGGAGAGGAGAGGAGAGGAGAGGAGAGGAGAGGAGAGGAGAGGAGAGGAGAGGAGAGGAGAGGAGAGGAGAGGAGAGGAGAGGAGAGGAGAGGAGAGGAGAGGAGAGGAGAGGAGAGGAGAGGAGAGAGAGGAGAGATCTCTTCCTGGACCTGTAGAACAATTCCACTCTCTCTCACAGACCCTGGCCTGCTGCACCATGCAGACACACTGACACACACACTGACACACACACACAATGACACACACAACACACACACACACTGACACACACATACCACACACACACACACACCAACACAACACACACACACACACACACACACTACACACAAACGTACAGACACACACACACACACACACACTGACACCAACACACTGACACACACACTACACACACACACACACACACACTGACACACACACACACACACTATGGACACACACACACGTACTGACACACCACAAACACACACACACCACACACACTGACACACACACACACAACCACACACACTGACACACACACACACACACACACACACTGACACACACACACACACTGACACACACACACACACACACACTGCCACACACAACGCACACACACACGCTGACACACACGTACTGACACACACACACACACACACACTGACACACACACACACACACACACTGACACACACACACTGGCCATGCAGAGTCCTATCAGTGGAGCTGACGGCTGGGTTACATCTGACCGTTTCACAGCTGTTCTCCAGCCACCTGATTTAGATTACTTTATGCCTCCTCCTTTGGATAAAAATGAGATAGAATTTCATTCTTATCATCATCATATAACGACAATATCATCGATCCATTCTATCATGAAGACGAAGCATACATGTTTCATACAGTGTTCAATCTAGAGACTCTCAAAGCAAACCCAGAGTTTACATGACATTTACTGTTATCCATGAATACAGTAATACATTGTTATATGAATATTAATACACTATCTAGCCATCTGCTCTGGGCCTCACATTGGGTCTATAGCCATGCAGTGATCCTGGTTAACACAGGTCTCTCACATTAGACACATTAGCTGGGTGTGAAGTATTCTCCCCATTAGCACGCCTATGTTTGTTTGCTCTCTGACCCACCACTTTCCCAGAACTGACAGAATGTATTCCCGGCCAGGCCAAACACTTCCCAGAACTGATAGAATGTATTCCTGGCCAGGCCAAACACTTTCCAGAACTGATAGAATGTATTCCCAGCCAGGCCAAACACTTTCCAGAGAGGTGCTAATGCTAGCTCACTAAGGCTGAGGTAGAAGCACGCCACTAAGGCTGACCAAAAGGTCTGGGTTTGTCTCCTCTGTATGTGGATACGTGATTGTATCACGGGTGTGAGATTGGAAGTGTGTGTGTGTGACTATTCCTGGCTGCGAGTTTGGGGGACTGGCTGGTCTTAGGTCCAGGCCGTGCATCAATCTAATGAACATAATAAAAAAAAGGTCCCATCAAAATCACGTCAAAGGTAGAGATATCTGTTTTTTTGTCTCAATCCATCGCGTCCGCCCGTGTCGGGCCTTCGCATCTGCGGTGGAAAGTGGCAGAGCTACAGCGGTGTTTGTCAGACCAGGAGACATCCGGAAAGTCTGTCTTCTCACGAAAATGTCTGTAGTGTCCGAACGGTCTAGTAACTAATATGACCACTCTATGGAAAGATGAGACTGTCACAAACACGATGGGGTTCTCAGTTTTGCCCTACGACACCCGCAAAGTATCATGGGACTCGTCTGAAGGTAACCCATACAAATGAATGGAAGTATGGAGGTAGTTTTCTGCCAACAAAAATAAGGGATTAAATGTGTCCAAAAAAACTAAAATATTTCCTGATCTTTCTTATATCTCCTAGATACAGGACAGCCACTTCAAAACCTTATTCATTATGATAAATGTTTTTACTGTCTTTTTTGCCATTTATTCATGTGCTATTTAATGAGTTTCTATGGGCTGTAGTAGTAAAGGCCAAATTATACCTAAAGGGGTCCTAAAATTCCAAATCAAATAGCTAAATGATCATGGTATGACCATCTTAGTGGTTAAGCCTGGGCTTTATTCAGGCCATGATGGCCTCCAGGCTGTGGTTGCTTGGTGCTTTCCAGTTATGGAGCTGTGATGAAGTAGGTTTTACAGTGAATGAAGAGAATCTGCCAAGTCTACACAAACTAGCCCACATTCACAATCTAGCCGTCTCTCATAATCCAGCCCTCTCTCATAATCTAGCCCTCTCTTATAATCCAGCCCTCTCTCATAATCCAGCCCTCTCTCATAATCCAGCCCTCTCTCATAATCCAGCCCTCTCTCATAATCTAGCCCTCTCTCATAATCCAGCCCTCTCTCATAATCCAGCCCTCTCTCATAATCCAGCCCTCTCTCATAATCCAGCCCTCTCTCATAATCCAGCCCTCTCTCATAATATAGCCCTCTCTCATAATCTAGCTCTCTCTCATAATCTAGCTCTCTCTCACAAAACTAGCCCTTTGTACTCCCCAGAAAACCATCCTTCTACCTCCAACAACGCACTACCTATTAATGTTGAATAACCTTTCCTGAGACTCACGGTAACTCCGAAAGCTTATGTCTTTAGCTCTGTGGGTTAACATGGTCTTGAGTTATGTGGATAATCTGGGTTTGATACCTGGTCACTTACACCTACTGTAAACAGCCCTTCTTCCTGTAAACAACCCCTCTTCTTCCTGTCAACAACCCTCCTTCTTCCTGTAAACAACCCCTCTTTTCCTGTAAACAACCCTTCTTCCTGTAAACAACCCCTCTTCTTCTTGTAAAAAGCCCTTCTTCTTCCTGTAAACAACCCTTCTTCCTGTAAACCACCCCTCTCCTCCCTCTTCCTCCTTCCCCAAACCACCCCTCTCTCCTCCCGATCTCCTCCGGCACCTGACAGGTGTAGCCCCCTCTGCTCTGTGTACATGGACCCTGACTGGCTACAAGTAGGCCGATTAGACAAACACACACACAGTCTATGTGCATTGCCCCTGGTAGCGTTGGGACGCCTATACCCCTATAGGCAGTCAGCCAGCCTCTAGTGGATCAGCCTCTGTGTACCCCCCCTCACACCAACAGGAATCACAGATTTCCTCTGGCTCCCGTCGGAGAGGGGCGAACAGCACACCCCTCAGTCCGCCAGTGGCCCCATGCTCAGGCCTGTGCCCGTCGACCGTCCCGGGACAAACAGGGCAGCGAGTGTGTCCAGAGTTACACAACAAGGGCCTGCGTGGACAGAGGGCCGAGGGAGGGAGGGAGGGAGGGAGGAAAATCCCCTGCATCAACGGTTCCCTCTGTGTCCTGACTGTAACGCGGTCTGATCTGGAGGGGAATGGCGGGAGGAGTTTATTTGCTTATATGCCATTTGATTTGCCGAATCTAAAGGAAAGCTGTTGCTTATTGGAGTTTGGTTTAGCTAAATCGTATAAACTTTGGGGAGAATAGCAGCCATTGATTTTGTGGTTATAGTTTGGAGGAAGGTCAGTGTAACCGGGTTGACTGCTTATAGGTCCTATACTGACAACAAACAAACAATGTTATAGCAGCAGTTTGCTGAAACACAGGTGAATACGGCTCTGTGATCATAGTGGACTTGCAAAAGTATTCATCCCCCTTGCCATTTTTCCTATTTTGTTGCATTACAACCTGTAATTTAAATTGATTTTTATTTGGATTTCATGTAATGGACATACACAAAATAGTCCAAATTGGTGAAGAGAACTGAAAAAATTATAACTTGTTTCAAAAAATTCAAAAAAATAAATAACGGAAAAGTGGTACATGCATATTTATTCACCCCCTTCACCTGTGTGCACTCTAAGTACCACATGATCTCAGTATATGTATACTTGTTCTGAAAGGCCCCAGAGTCTGCAACACAACTAAGCAAGGGGCACCACCAAGCAAGCAGCACCATGAAGACCAAGGAGCTCTCCAAACAGGTCAGGGAGAAAGTTGTGGAGAAGTGCAGATCAGGGTTGGGTTATAAAAAAATATCAGAAACTTTGAACATCCCACGGAGCACCGTTAAATCCATTATTAAAAAATGGAAAGAATATGGCACCACAACAAACCTGCCAAGAGAGGGCCGCCCACCAAAACTCACGGACCAGGCAAGGAGGGCATTAATCAGAGAGGCAACAAAGAGACCAAAGATAACCCTGAAGGAGTTGCAAAGCTCCACAGCAGAGATTGGAGTATCTGTTTATAGGACCACTTTAAGCTGTACACTCCACAGAGCTGGGCTTTATGGCAGAGTGGCCAGAAAAAAGCCATTGCTTAAAGAAAAAAATAAGCAAACACGTTTGGTGTTCGCCAAAAGGCATGTGGGAGACTCCCCAAACATATGGAAGAAGGTACTCTGGTCAGATGAAATTGAGCTTTTTGGCCATCAAGGAAAACTATACGTCTGGCGCAAACCCAACACCTCTCATCACCCCGAGAACACCATCCCCACAGTGAAGCATGGTGGGGATGTTTTTCATCGGCAGGGACTGGGAAACTAGTCAGAATTGAAGGAATGATGGATGGCGCTAAATACAGGGAAATGCTTGAGGGAAAGTCTTCCAGAGATTTGAGACTGGGACGGAGGTTCACCTTCCAGCAGGACAATGACCCTAAGCATACCGCTAAAGCAACACTCGAGTGGTTTATGGGGAAACATTTAAATGTCTTGGAATGGCCTAGTCAAAGCCCAGACCTCAATCTAATTGAGAATCTGTGGTATGACTTAAAGATTGCTGTACACCAGCAGAACCCATCCAACTTGAAGGAGCTGGAGCAGTTTTTCCTTGAAGAATGGGCAAGAATCCCAGTGGCTAGATGTGCCAAGCTTATAGAGACATACCCCAAGAGACTTGCAGCTGTAAATTGCTTGCAAAAGGTGGCTCTACAAAGTATTGTCTTTGGGGGGGTGAATAGTTATGCACTCTCAAGTTTTCTGTTTTTTTTGTCTTATTTCTTGTTTGTTTCACAAAAAATTTTATTTTGCATCTTCAAAGTGGTAGGCATGTTGTGTAAATGAAATGATAGAAACCCCCCAAAAAATCAATTTAATTCCAGGTTGTAAGGCAACAAAATAGGAAAAATGCCAAGGGGGGTGAATACTTTCGCAAGCCACTGTACAGTGGGGAAAAAAAGTTTTTAGTCAGCCACCAATTGTGCAAGTTTTCCCACTTAAAGAGATGAGAGAGGCCTGTAATTTTCATCATAGGTACACGTCAACTATGACAGACAAAATGAGGGAAAAAAAATCCAGAAAATCACATTGTAGGATTTTTTATGAATTTATTTGCAAATTATGGTGGAAAGAAACGTTTCTCAATACTTTGTTATATACCCTTTGTTGGCAATGACACAGGTCAAACATTTTCTGTACGTCTTCACAAGGTTTTCACACACTGTTGCTGGTATTTTGGCCCATTCCTCCATGCAGATCTCCTCTAGAGCAGTGATGTTTTGGGGCTGTCGCTGGGCAACACAGACTTTCAACTCCCTCCAAAGATTTTCTATGGGGTTGAGATCTGGAGACTGGCCTTGAAATGCTTCTTACGAAGCCACTCCTTCATTGCCCGGGCGTTGTGTTTGGGATCATTGTCATGCTGAAAGACCCAGCCACGTTTCATCTTCAATGCCCTTGCTGATGGAAGGAGGTTTTCACTCAAATTCTCACGATACATGGCCCCATTCATTTTTTCCTTTACACGGATCAGTCGTCCTGGTCCCTTTGCAGAAAAACAGCCCCAAAGCATGATGTTTCCACCCCCATGCTTCAAAGTAGGTATGGTGTTCTTTGGATGCAACTCAACATTCTTTGTCCTCCAAACACGACGAGTTGAGTTTTTACCAAAAAGTTATATTTTGGTTTCATCTGACCATATGACATTCTCCCAATCCTCTTCTGAATCATCCAAATGCACTCTAGCAAACTTCAGACGGGCCTGGACATGTACTGGCTTAAGCAGGGGGACACGTCTGGCACTGCAGGATTTGAGTCCCTGGCGACATAGTGTGTTACTGATGGTAGGCTTTGTTACTTTGGTCCCAGCTCTCTGCAGGTCATTCACTAGGTCCCCCCCGTATGGTTCTGGGATTTTTGTTCACCGTTCTTGTGATCATTTTGACCCCACGGGGTGAGATCTTGCGTGGAGCCCCAGATCGAGGGAGATTATCAGTGGTCTTTTATGTCTTCCATTTCCTAATAATTGCTCCCACAGTTTATTTCTTCAAACCAAGCTGCTTACCTATTGCAGATTCAGTCTTCCCAGCCTGGTGCAGGTCTACAATTTTGTTTCTGGTGTCCTTTGACAGCTCTTGTCTTGGCCATAGTGGAGTTTGGAGTGTGACTGTTTGAGGTTGTGGACAGGTGTCTTTTATACTGATAACAAGTTCAAACAGGTGCCATTAATACAGGTAACGAGTGGAGGACAGAGGAGCCTCTTAAATAAGAAGTTACAGGTCTGTGAGAGCCAGAAATCTTGCTTGTTTGTAGGTGACCAAATACTTATTTTCCACCATAATTTGCAAATAAATTCATTAAAGATCCTATAATGTGATTTTCTGGATTTTTTTTTCTTAATTTGTCTGTCATAGTTGACGTGTACCTATGATGAAAATTACAGGCCTCTCTCATCTTTTTAAGTGGGAGAACTTGCACAATTGGTGGCTGACTAAATACTTTTTTTCCCCACTGTATGTGCTCGGAGTGTGGTGGGTGGGTGGGTGGGTGGGTGGGTGTGTGTGTGTGTGTGTGTGGGTGTGTGTGTGTGTGTGTGTGTGTGTGTGTGTGTGTGTGTGTGTGTGTGTGTGTGTGTGTGTGTGTGTGTGTGTGTGTGTGTGTGTGTGTGTGTCTGTGTGTCTGTGTGTCTGTCTGTCTGTCTGTCTGCACAACAAATTATCCAGTTTTAAATCAACACGAGACAGTGTTAAATAAACACTGAAAGAGGGGGACCATATGCACACTGGAACCAGTGTTAAATTAACACACTGCTTGGTGCCTTGCCTTTCGAGTAAATTGTGAAGTTACCATCCATAACTGTAGTTGTTAGTTACAGAGACATGGTTGTTCAATTCATCAATTTTCAGTCCTATGGAGTTCACCAAGTGAGATCCTAAGCGAATATGTTATCATAATTTGTTTAAATGATTTAACACAATACCATGCATATTTCATAAAGTCTCATTTTGAGGGCCTAGTTTTACCCAACAGGGGCCTGAAGCTCATACACATCACCGCGAACCAAAACCACACTCATCATTATCGTATTTCCCAGCATGCTCTATTTTTTCTTTTTTCTTTTTGTTGTTTTTTCAATATCTATGTTTGTACATTAATTGATGACTTAATCTTATGCTACTGAAATATAAATGACATACATTTTCTAAAATAATCCAATATTGTACTTGGACGTATTGAACCCGTTACTGAAATGGTTGTTCCAGTTTAGATGCTTTAGGTAATCTCATATCTTAGTCTTCCCAATCCTGGCAGTCATTCAGAATGCAGGTTGCCGGGTGATAAGAAATGCCAAATGTTGGACATCCCCACTGGCTGGATTCCAATAGGAATTAAGCATCACTTTTACAACCCTACCTGCAAGTCACATTATGCTGGCTTGCAAAGTGATGTGTAATTTCTGTTTGGAATCCACCCAGTTAGGATAGCCAACACCTGGAACTTTTATTCACCTGCAACTTGCACTCAGAATGACTGCCAGGGTTAGGAATATTATGAGAAGACTACGCAAGCCATTCAAACTGGAACCACCATTTCAGTAACAGGTGCAAAAAAAATCTCTAACTTGATTGGATTAGTTTAGAGAAATGTATGTTATTTATCTTTGTGTAGCATAAGATTAACCAATCAATCAACATTAATCAAGCAAAAACAATCACATGTTAATGTATTATTATTTGTTGATCTACCTGCAGTACAGCATGCTGGGAAATGTGATAATGATGGGTGTGGTTTTGGTTCAAAATGATGTGTATGAGTTTCAGGCCCCTTTATTACAGTAAAAGTAGGACCTCAAAATAAGGCCTTATCAAATGTGTATGGTATTGTGTTAAAAATACAATACAATTATGATAGCATATTCACTTAGGACTGAAAATGGATGAATTGAACAACCATGTCTCTGTCACTAACAAATACAGTCTGATCTCCATCACCTAGGACATGACATAGGTTAATAGAATTTCACGTTTTTGTCAATTCTTGCTCAATCTTGCATGCTTTCTCAAACAGCTGTAACTGTATATGCACTCGTAAATCAGGTCCTTTCTTGAGTTGGGCTCTGGGATGTAACAACCGTTGAGCATCTGAGCTTATGTTGATTGTGGAGGAAAAGGGTTGAGTGCGTTAGAGAATGTGTGTGTGTGTGTGTGTGTGTGTGTGTGTGTGTGTGTGTGTGTGTGTGTGTGTGTGTGTGTGTGTGTGTGTGTGTGTGTGTGTGTGTGTGTGTGTGTGTGTGTGTGTGTGTCCCACATTTGTTGTAAGGGGGTAAGGATGTTAGGGAGAATATAGGATGAGCCACAATAATGTAATGTAATACAATGGCAATCCGGGTTATAGTTAACAATCCTTCACATGAACTGCCGACATTATTACGCATATTAATTGATAATGATGGAAATTAAGATATGCAAGATATTTGAATAGATATATATTTTTAATAGCTATATATATATATATTGAGATGAGAGCATTGGAAATGCTTTTGGTGGTTGACCTGCTTCTGTTTTGTGGGTGGCACTGCGTGCTGTTTTCGAAGGATAGGTCCTGGCCTCTCGGGGGGCCTAGGGATCCGGGGGGACGGGGGTGGTAAGCCGATCACTGGGATGACAACCCAACTTGGGATGGGGAGAGTCTTTAGCGGGGGGAATAGTGGAGAACAATTGGAGGGTTACTTAGTAGCAATGCAAATATCATGGTACAGCTATATGGACACTCAATCACTATGGTATTTTTTATTGGTAAATTTACAAACATATATTATGATAAATAGATTTGAAACTTGTATCTCATTATGGTAAGTGGTGAAATAAGTATAGCCAGTTATAATTGTAATGGCTTAGCAGATAATAACAAAAGAAGAACAATATTTACATGGCTCAAAGAGAAGGACTATAATATCTATTGTTTACAGGAAACTCATTCAACAATTCTAGATGAAGTTGTTTGGAAAAAGGACTGGGCGTAATATACTTCTCCCATGGGCAAAGAAACTCAAAAGGGGTGATGATATTAATTAACAGTAATTTTGATCCGAATGTGCAAATTGTCCAAACAGATCCACAAGGTAGATGGATGATTTTAAATATGTTATTGGACCATAAACAGATATGGCTCATTAGCCTTTACGGACCAAATAATGATGATCCACGCTTCTTTGACAATATATATAATAAATTATCAACCCTGCAAGCAATACAAGACTCTATTATCATGGTGGGAGATTATAATACTGTTTTAATGTAAAACATGTAAATGTTTTAAATAGCTCAATGTTTTAAATAGCTCAATGGACCGTAAAGGAAATCACACTACAAACTATCACCCTCATGCTCTTAAGGAAATCATGAATGTCATGGATACATTAGAACTAGTAGATATATGAAGGCTTAAATATCCTGACCTAGTGAGACATACATGGCAGAGACTCAATCAAGCTAGCCGTCTTGACTTCTTTCTTATGTCATTCTCGTTGGCACCAAAAGTTTAAAAAGTGTTGATAGGGGACAGAATGCGGTCGGACCATCATATAATTGGCATATACATTACTCTTACTGAATTTCCACGTGGGCGAGGATATTGGACATTTAATCAAAGCCTATTGGATGATAACATGTTTTTAACTAGGACAGAGGAATTTATAACAGATTTTTTCAGACATAACATAGGTACAGCAAATGCCCTTATTGTATGGGACACTTTTAAATGTGCCTTTAAAGGCCATGCAATTCAGTACTCATCTCGAAAACAAAAACAATTTAGGTCAAAAGAGTCCATACTAACAAAGGAAATAGTCTAACAGAACAGATAGATAGCAATAAAAACTGTAACATAGAGGCTCAGAATGAATTAGAGGAAAAACTAAAAGAAATGGAGAAAATTATTCAAGAAAGATCAAGTGTAATATATTATAAAAATAAAGCAAACTGGATGGAATATGGTGAAAAATGCACCACATTTTAATTTTCAACATAGAAATGCTACCAAAAAGAATTTACTGAAACTGGTTACAAATGACGGAGTCACCCATGATTCACCAAATTATATTTTGAAGGAGGAAGCAAAGTACTTTAAGCATATGTTTTCTTTTCAGTCGCCTCCATCTCCTCTATCTGAAGCTAATTGTAGGGATTTTTTTTCTATTGATAATGTAAAATTAACAGCCATAAAGAAAGAGGAGGAACTTCTGGATGCAATTAAGGACTTTAAGTCCGGGAAAACTCCAGGGTTGGATGGCGTACCAGTCGAGGTATACCAAACCTTTTTTGATATACTCAGAGGGCCGTTATTAGCATGTTTTAACCACTCCTATGTAAATGGTAGATTATCAGACACGCAAGAAGGTCTGATTTCATTATTACTGAAACAGGATACAAGTGGGAAATATAAAGATCCAGTCCATTAAAAAAATTGGAGGCCCATTACACTTCAGTGTTGTGATGCAAAAATTCTACCAAAATGTATAGCGCATAGAATTAAAAAGGTATTGTCGGACATTATTCTTTCTAATCAGAGAGGTTTTTTAGATGGACGATACATTGGAGATAATATAAGGCAAGTACTGGAAACAATAGAACACTATGAAAAATCTGGTAAACCAGGCCTGCTATTCATAGCAGACTTTGAAAAGGCATTTGATAACGTACGACTGGAGTTTATATATAAATGCCTGGAGCATTTCAATTTTGGAGAATCTCTTATAAAATGGGTTAAAATCATGTATAGTAACCCTAGGTGTAAAATAATAAATAATGGCTATTTCTCAGAAAGTTTTAAACTGTCAAGAGGAGTAAAACAAGGTTGTCCACTATCGGCATATCTATTTATTATGGCCATCGAAATGTTAGCTATTAAAATCATATCCAACAATAATATCAAGGGATTAGAAATCCAGGGCTTAAAAACAAAGGTGTTATTGTCCTCTGATGATTCATGTTTTCTTTTAAATCCACAACTTGAATCCCTCCACAGCCTCATAGAGGAACTAGACACATATTCTAACCTCTCTGGATTACAACCGAATTATGATAAATGTACTATATTACGTATTGGATCACTAAAAAATAAAGATTTTACATTACCATGTAGTTTACCAATAAAATGGTCTGATGGTGATGTGGATATACTCGGAATACATATCCCAAATGAAATAAATGATCTCACTCCAATACATTTTAATAGAAATGTCTTGTTACCATGGATAGGTAAATACCTGTCTATTTGTGGAAAAATCACCCTGATTAACTCTTTAGTATTATCCCAGTTTACCTATTTGCTTATGGTCTTGCCTACACCTAGCAAACAGGTTTTTTTAATTAAATTAGAAAAAAATATTCAATTTTATTTGGAACGGCAAGCCAGACCAAATTATTTTAAATTTTTAGTCATTTAGCAGACGCTCTTATCCAGAGCGACTTACAGTTAGTGAATACATATAATTTTTTTATACTGGCCCCCCGTGGGAATCAAACCCACAACCCTGGCGTTGCAAACACCATGCTCTACCAACTGAGCTACATCCCTGCCGGCCATTCCCTCCCCTACCCTGGACGACGCTGTGCCAATTGTGCGCCGTCCAGGAGTCTCCCGGTCGCGACAGAGCCTGGATTCGAACCAGGATCTCTAGTGGCACAGTTAGCACTGCGATGCAGTGCCTTAGACCACTGCGCCACTCAGGAGTAATTATATAATGAATATGAATTCGGAGGACAGAAATGTTAAATATTAAAGCATTAGACCTATCACTAAAAGCTTCAGTCATACAAAAGTTATACTTAAATCCAAACTGGTTCTCTAGCAAATTAGTAAGATAGTCTCACCCAATGTTCAATAATGGCCTTTTCCCCTTTATTCAGATTACAACCTCTCACTTCCAGTTATTTGAAAAGGAAATAATCTCCCAAATATCACTATTTCTAAAACAAGCCATAGAAAGTTGGTTGCAATTTAAATTTAATCCTCCAGAAACATCAGAACAAATAATGCAACAAATATTGTGGTTAAACTCAAATATACTAACTGATAAAAAAAACATAATTTTTTGGCCCAAAAAAAACAATAGGTATAATCTTCGTAAATTATATCAAAGGCAGGACTGGTGGAGTTATGTCGCACATGCAGCTAACAAAAACATATGGAAATGTCTGCTCTACCCAAAATTACAACCGAATAATTGCAGCATTACCGCAAAAATGGAAGAGGAAAGTGGAAGGGGGAAAAAGTAAAGAACTTGTCTGTCGGCCCTGCATTAAAGAACATAATTGGTTAAAGAAAATTGTGATAAATAAAAATGTATACCTGTTTAATTTAAGGACCAAAGGATTGACAGCCATCCCATATAGATTGCAAAATAGTTGGGAAGAGATTTTTGACGTACCGATCCCATGGCATAGTGTTTATGAACTGATACGCAAAACAACGCTGGATTCAAAACTAAGAATTTTTCACTTTTTATTATTATACATTATTCTTGCTACCAATAGAATGTTATTTATATGGGGGAAGTAATCATCCCAGCTCTGCAGATTTGGCTGCGAAGAGACAGAATCATTAGATCATCTGTTTTGGTACTGTCCATTTCTAGCTTGTTTTTGGTCACAGGTCCAGGAATGGATGAAGGATTGCAATATTTACCTGGAGCTAACCCTGCAGATAGCACTACTGGGTGATCTGAAAACTCTTAGTCAATCGATCAATAATATAATAATACTTTTAGCAAAAAAAATATTTTCAATTTACAATCTGTAGAAACAATGAGAATAGAAGGGTTCAGAACTTTTGTGAAACATCACAGTACAGTTGAAAAATATATGGCAAATAGAAATCCAATATGGATGGTGTTAAGAGATAGATGGGAGGTGTTGAATGGAACTGAAGGATGGGACTAATAACAACTAACAACAACTAATAACAACAAGATAACTAATGTAAAGCATACTGTGTCCATAATAAGTATATAGGTTATAGGTTGGGAGCTTTTGTGAAAGAGCACAGTAAAAAAGATATGGCATATAGAAGCAAACCGGATGGACATCATGAAAATGATTGGAGAGGTTGAGGGTAGAGGACGTTCAGGAGTAAAAACAAACAAAATAGAATTATTGTCAAATTGACTGTGTCCATAAAATGTATATAGTATGTATAAGCTGGAAGTAGAGGCCTAAGCATTGTTGTTCAGTAGTTTACTCCAATTAGGGAAGGGGTGGTGGGGTTGGAAAGTAATAAAGGGAAATATATATATTTTTTAATTACAAAGAAAAAAAAATACAGTTATGGGTGGTAACTCTACAAATCACTCGAAAGGAAAGGCACTCTGGGAAATATTAAAATAAGGTGTTACACTAAGCAGTGTGTTAATGTAACACTGGTTCCAGTGTGTATATGGTCCCACTCTTTCAGTGCTGATTTAACACTGGATAATTTGCTGTGTGTGTGTGTGTGTGTGTGTGTGTGTGTGTGTGTGTGTGTGTGTGTGTGTGTGTGTGTGTGTGTGTGTGTGTGTGTGTGTGTGTGTGTGTGTGTGTGTGCGCTTGCATGTAACCCCAGCTCAGCCCCAGCCCTATGTCACCCCAGCTGTGGGTCATTTAGTCGGGATCGGTGGGGAATTGTGTTTATGTACTAAATATCCACAGGCATGAAGAACACCTTAGAGTGAGAGATAGAGATAGAGATAGAGAGATAGAGAGAGAGAGAGAGAGAGAGAGAGAGAGAGAGAGAGAGAGAGAGAGAGAGAGAGAGAGAGAGAGAGAGAGAGAGAGAGAGAGAGAGAATGGACAGTGATGTCATCCCACAAGTATTCCCCTTCATTCCTGGGCAACAGGGTCAGCCATGATGTTTTCATTTCTGACATAATTTTTGGGGGGCGGTTTGCATCAGCGCTCCTCTCCTACGGTGAGGAGAGACAGTAAGCAGAGAGACCTGTGAGCCGATGACCCCTGACCTCCAGATAAGAGACTTCAGGTGTCTCACTAAGGTATCCATGCTGCACATGTAGCTCCTTAGACCACGTGTCAATCTCATTCCACGGAGGGCCGAGTGTCTGCAGGTTTTTGTTTTTTCCTTTCAATTAAGACCTAGACAACCAGGTGAGGGGAGTTCCTTACTAATTAGTGACCTTAATTAATCAATCAAGCAAGGGAGGAGCGAGAACCCACAGCCACTCGGCCCTACGTGGAATGAGTTACAGGAGCTACATGTGCAGCATGGATACCTTAGTGAGTCACAATCAAATTGTCATAGCGGCTCATACATCATTTGACAGTGTATTCAACAAAATAAATGTATCCATGGCATATTGTGGGTATAAAAGAGGCTCAGCTGAAATATGAATGGTTATGCACCAAATCGTCAACATTAAGATGCCTCCTTTGAGATGAAGTCTCCTGATGGAGGTGTAAAGGAACACTTCGTTTCTTGGAGTGGACACTGCTCAGAACCGACCCCAACTCTGTATAACACACACACAGGCACTGGATTAAAGCACTGGAGAGAAGGTCAACAATGAATGTGACCCAGCTGAGGGCTTCAAGTGCTACATGTTCCCTTTGAGGACCTGTGTGTGTGTGTGTGTGTGTGTGTGTGTGTGTGTGTGTGTGTGTGTGTGTGTGTGTGTGTGTGATCATGTGTGTTTGTCATTTATCTCTTGCATGATATCAATCACTCAACAAATCCCCCAGTAAGACATGGCTGGAATGTTCTCACCACCCAAACTTCTCTCTGTCTCAACCTCATGTTTACTCCAAGCATTGTGTCTGTTGAGTGTGAATGAAGGTCATGAAATCTCCCTACAGTCTTCTCTAAGTGGCAAGCGGCCTCTACACTGGTCTGCTGGGAGATTTCACTGCTCGTAAAACCTGCATTCTCAAGGGCTTATCACTGACCCCTCATGTTCCTCTCTCTCGCAGAGTTGACCTGGAGTTCACATACCATACGACGTCAACCCCTATTCCTTCACAATGGGGCTCAGATAGCTCACCTGGCCCTGCTGACAATAGCCCAGGTCTGACTCTGGTCAGCCCGCACTGACCCCAGTCAGCCCCTCACATATCCCATTGTTCAGGAGCAGGAGCGAGGCCTAGACCTGCCTGTACAAACGTTTACCAACCGGCCCCTCTCTAAACCAAGAGACATCCTTTGTTTGTCTAACCAAACAAAGGATGCCTTTATTACTGCTGCTGTGCTTGAATGTAACCGCACACACACAGCGGTGGAAAAAGTACCAAATTGTCATACTGGAGTAAAAGTAAAGATATCTTAATAGAAAATGACTAATGTAAAAGTGAAAGTCACCCAGTAAAATACTACTTGAGTAAAAGTCTGAAAGTATCTGGTTTTAAATGTACTTGTAACGGAGACACAGGGAGTCAGGAAGCAGGTGCAGTCAGTGAGTTTAATAGCAACGAACATGGAGTGAATACAAAAACAGGAGTAGAGTCTAAACATGAAAACCGGAAACAATACTACCTAATGGGTGTTACAACGTCCTAGATATAGGGGAAGTAATCAGGGAGTGATGGAGTCCAGGTGTGCTTCATGATGGGTTGCCAGGTGTGCTTCATGATGGGTTGCCAGGTGTGCTTCATGATGGGTTGCCAGGTGTGCATAATGATGGGTTGCCAGGACCGGTGGTTAGTAGACCGGCGACGTCGAGCGTCGGAGCGGGGGAGCGGGATTTGATGAGATAGTACCCCCCCCCGATGCGTTGCTCCAGCCGCAGGACGAAGCCGGCCGGGGGGGAGGCCCTGAGAGCGAGGAGCGGGTCACTCCCGTCGGCGAAGGTGGAAATCTCGGATGATGTTGGGATCTAGAATGTCGTCCACCAGAACCCAACACCGCTACTCTGGGCCATACCCCTCCCAGTCCGCCAGGTACTGGAGCCGACCCCACGACGTCGGGAGTCCAGGATGGACCTCAATGTCCAGGGGAGGTGGAGGGGAGTCGTGTGGGACGGCATCAGCCAGGGGACCAGAAACCACCGGCCTGAGGAGGGAAACGTGAAAAGAGGGTGAGATCCGGTAGTTTGTGGGAAGCTGTAATCGGTATGTTACCTCATTGACCCTCCGGAGGACTTTAAATGGCCCCACAAACCGGGTGGCTCAGCTTCCGGCAGGGCAGGCGGAGCGGGAGGTTCCTGGTGGAGAGCCAGAGGCGATCACCAGGATGGAACACAGGAGCCTCACTGCGGTAGCGATCCACCTGCTCCTTCTGGCGGCGGACGGCACGTTGGAGCCTCATGTGGGCAGTGTTCCTAACTGCCTCGGAGTGCTGGAAGCACTCGGCCACCGCAGGGGCTTCGGTCTGGCTCGGGGTCCATGGGGCCAGGGCAGGCTAGTACCCCAGGACACACTGGAAGGGAGTTAGCCCGGTGGAGGAGTGACAAGTGAGTTCTGGGCATACTCTGCCCAGGGAAGGAACCGGGCCCACTCCACCTGCCGGTCCTGACAGTGACTCCTCAGGAACCTCCCCAGCTCCTGGTTGGTCCTCTCCACCTGCCCGTTGGACTGAGGCCAGTACCCGGATGTGAGGCTGATCGTGACCACCAGCTTCTAAATGAAGGCTTTCCATACTCGTGACGTGAATTGGGGACCACGGTCGGAGACGATGTCCTCCGGAAGGCCATAGTGCCGGAAGACCTGCTGGAACAATGCCTCAGAGACCTGGAGAGCAGTAGGGAGACCAGAGAGAGGGTTGAAATGGCAGGATTTGGACAATCTGTCCACAACAACCATAACAGTGGTGAAACAATCAGACAGGGGAAGATCAGTAAGAAAATCTATAGACAGATGGGACCAAGGCCGCTGAGGCATGGGGAGGGGAAGGAGTTTCCCTGCTGGGGAGTGACGGGAGACTTAGTTTGAGCACATACAGAGCAGGAGTGGACGTAGCGGGTGACGTCCTGTGCCAAGGTGGGCCACCAGTACTTAATGAAGATGGATTGAGTGGTGCGGGTGATACCTGGGTGTCCAGCGGCAAGGGATGTGTGCGCCCAAGTCAATAGCCGATCCCTTACCTCCGTGGGAATGTAGATGTGCTCCAGAGGACAAGTAGCAGGCATGGGTTCCCTCTCCAGAGCCTGGCGTATGTCCACGTCTATGTCCCAAAGCACGGGGACAACGATTCGGGAGGGCAGTATGATGGGGGCACTCAGGACCGAACCTTTCCCGAATCGTGGAGACGGGACAGGGCATCGGCTTTGATGTTCTTTAAACCTGGGCGGTATGACAGGGTGAAGTTGAATCTGGTAAAGAAAAGGGCCCACCTTGCTTAGCACGGGTTTTGCCGCCTCGCTGTCCGTATGTACTCCATGTTCTGATGGTTGGTGAGGATGAGAAATGGGTCCTGGGCGCCCTCCAGCCAGTGTCTCCACTCCTCTAATGCCAACTTCACTGCCAGGAGCTCCCGATCACCAACATCATAGTTCCTTTCTGCAGGAGACAGTTTTTTAGAGTAGTATGCCCATGGATACAATGTTTGTGGATTACCTTGATGTGTGACAGGACGGCCCCCACACTCACTTCTGAGGCGTCCACCTCCACCACAAAGGGCAGCATAGGATCTGGGTGTTTCAGCAACGGGAGGAGGTGATACGCCCTTTCAGCAGGTGGAAGGCCTCATCGGTTGCAGGATTCCACACCAACTTACGGGGACCATCTTTGAGGAGAGAGGAGAAACAATGGAACTGAAGTTCCTAATGAAGTGCCGGTAGAAGTTGGCAAACCCCAAAAACCGTTGTAGTCCCTTTATGGTAGTTGGGACTGGCCATGACCTGACTGCATCTACCTTCCTCTCCTCCATAACCACTCCCTGCGGGCTGATCTGATATCCCAAGGAGACGGCAGCCTGATGGAACTGTCACTTCTCCGCTTTGACGTACAGATGGTTCTCCAGGAGGCGTTCCAGGACTACCCGGAGTTGGGCGATGTGCTCCTCCAAGATGGCCGAGTAGATCAGGATGTCATCGATATACACGACCACCTGATGCCCAAGCATGTCCCGAAACACCTCGTTAGCGAATGCCTGGAACACTGACGGAGCATTGGCTAATCCATAAGGCATCACCATGTACTAGTAGTGCCCAGACATCATGCTGAAGGCAGTCTTCCATTCATCCCCCTCCCGGATGTGGATCAAATTGTAGGCACTCCGCAGGTCCAGCTTGGTAAAGAAAACAGGCCCAGCGGAGCTGTTCAATGGCGGCCGGCACCAACGGGAGGGGATAGCGGACCTCCTTCCCTCAGCCAGGGCATTGAAAATGGGTTGTGGATGGTTATTCCAGCATGACAATGACCCAAAACACACGGCCAAGGCAACAAAGGAGTGACTCAAGAAGAAGCACATTAAGGTCCTGGAGTGGCCTAGCCAGTCTCCAGACCTTAATCCCATAGAAAATCTGTGGAGGGAGCTGAAGGTTCGAGTTGCCAAACGTCAGCCTCGAAACCTTAATGACATGGCGATGATCTGCAAAGAGGAGTGGAACAAAATCCCTACTGAGATGTGTGCAAACCTGGTGGCCAACTACAAGAAACGTCTGACCTCTGTGATTGCCAACAAGGGTTTTGCCACCAAGTACTAAGTCATGTTTTGCAGAGGGGTCAAATATTTATTCCCCTCATTAAAATGCAAATCAATTTATAACATTTTTGACAAGCGATTTTTTTGTTGTTATTCTGTCTCTCACTGTTCAAATAAACCTACCATTTAAATGATAGACTGATCATGTCTTTGTCAGTGGGCAAACGTACAAAATCAGCAGGGGATCAAATACTTTTTTCCCCTCACTGTATCTATTCTCCCTTATTGTGACATCCGCCCCTAACACCCTCCCCTGCATCACGTCACCCCCCTCCTCCGCACACTCCACTGGCTTCCAATTGAAGCTCGCATCCGCTACAAGACCATGGTGCTTGCCTTTGGAGCAGTGAGGGGAACGGCACCCCTGTACCTTCAGGCTCTGATCAGTCCCTACACCCAAACGAGGACATTGCGTTCATCCACCTCTGGCCTGCTGGCTCCCCTTCCTCTGCGGAAGCACAGCTCCCCCTCAGCCCAGTCAAAACTGTTCGCTGCTCTGGCACCCCAATGGTGGAACAAGCTCCCTCACGACGCCAGGACAGCGGAGTCACTCACCACCTTCCGGAGACATTTGAAACCCCACCTCTTTAAGGAATACCTGGGATAGGCTAAAGTATTCCTTCTAACCCCCCCCCCCCCCCCCCCCCCCCCCCAAATTGTAAAGTGGTTATCCCACTGGCTATAGGGTGAACGCACCAATTTGTGAGTCGCTCTGGCTAAGAGCGTCTGCTAAATGACGTTAATGTGCCCTTGAGCAAGGCACTTAACCCTAATTGCTCCTGTAAGTCGCTCTGGTTAAGAGCGTCTGCTAAATGACTAAAATGTAAATGTAAATGTAATCCCTACCATAGTGCCCTCCACCTTCACCTCCCTATTCCCAGACAGAATCCCTACCCCTGATGAGTGCACCCCCCCTATACCCCAAACCCACTCTCCCTTGTCCCACTCCCTCCTAAACCTTATGACATCCCCACTATCCCTTAGGTGAACCTCCTGTATAAAACAAACTTCAAAACCCACCCCCTCTAAATACCCCAAAACCCGCCCTTCTCTTAACATCCTCCCTTATCCCCCTCACATTTAATGTAACAAAAATAATCCCTGCCATAATACATTTCCCAAATTACAACCTGATGCTCCCCTGCTCCATCTCCTCCTGTAGAGACTCCGACTCCCCCCCAGATGCCCCCCCCACTTCCCTCCATCTCTCCAACCCAGGATGCAGGAATGGTGTTTGGCTCCTGGGTTCCCTGCATCCTGTGCTCACCACCATCCGCCTCCAAAACCCCAACCCTGAAACAGGTTGGGAACAGGGGGGGGGGGGGCAGCGAGGACACAGGAGATTCTTCCCCCACAGCGCCCTTCTCCCCATGAAACGCTTGGCACCCCCCCCTCTCCCCCACCACCCATTTCCCTCTTCCTGTCCGAGGATCTCCCCCTCCTCTTCCCTCTCTTCTTTGGAGACGCCGGCAGTGGGGAGACCCAGCCCCCCTTGATTTCCAGCTCCTCCATCATCTCCCTCACCTCATCCCCCTGGGCACTCGACATCCCGCTTTCCCCCCACTCCGGCCCCCCCCTCTCCCCCTTTCTGCTCTCCTCCCAGGGCTGTGGCTGGCTCCTCCCCGACCTCCTCTCCCTCCGCTGCCTCCGTCTCCGGCACCTCCTCTCCCACACTCCCCTTCATCTCCGTCTCCGACACCACCTCTCCTTCCGGACCTGCTACGGCAGTCCCCTGCCCGTCCCCCTCTCCTCCTGCGGCTGTCCTCGGCTCCTCCTCCGTTGTCGATGGTATTGCCTGTGCTTGTGTCTAGAAACTCTCCTCCTCTTCCTCCTCCATCCCCTTCTCCAGCCCCTGCTCCCCTACCAGCTGCAGCTGCATTCGACTTGTGACGAGCCGCACATTCCCTCCACAGGTGTGCTGACGATCCACACCCGTGGCACTTCTTTGACTCGTCACAGTCCCTCGTCATAGGCCATGCATCGTCTGCAGAAAGGGGGCTGACGGGCATAATACAACGTCCCCCTGTCAGCCCCCCAGGGAGAACAGAGCTGGAGGATGAAGGTAACCTCCCAGGCCCTTTGGGTCTTCCCTCAACAGAGCCTGGAAGCTTCTCCTCCCCGTTCCAGAACCCTAGCGAGTCTTTGAGGAGCCTTGCCGAGGAGACATTGTCCATATACCTCACCATGAAAGCCCTCACCTCCTCGTCCTTAACATGCGGGCTGTACATGTTCACAGTCACTACCCTGAAATTGTTCCTCGCCAAACTCGTCACCTCCATAGTGACACATTGGTCTTGCCTTCTCCACCTCCCTCGCCCTTCTCATGACCTCTCTCATGTTTCCCCTCCGTGTGAAAAAACACATCATAAGCCCCTTCCAAGGGGTTCGCCTGGAGGCACATCACGTCCTTTACCGCCAGCTTTAACACTCCCATCAACAAAGTCCTCCCAAATGTTTCCCTTCCAAAAGGTCCTTCTCCTTCCACGCAAACCTAACTGCGTTCGTGATCCCAATCCTGGGAATCGCCCTAAAATGCACATTTTTCGCCATCTCCGCAAGGAGAATAGTGCCAGCACCACTGCTCCAACTCTTCTCTATATTAGTTACAAACAATTTTTTACTATTTTAATTGTTTTAAACCACCGCTAGCTTCCTTCTTAGACAGTCGTAGTACTGCTGAGCATAGAGAAACTAGCAGAGAAAATTGAGCAAAGGAACACAGGGAAGTGAGGGCATAAATACACAGGTGAACAGGTAGACACAGGTGACACCAATAGGATACTGATTAGTCCAGACTGTGAGGAGGAGCCTAAGGTTGTCGGAGGATGACACCTAGTGGGTCACTACGGCACTGCGACCCCCCCCCCCCCCCCCTCTCTCTCTCTCTCTCTCTCTCTCTCTCTCTCTCTCTCTCTCTCTCTCTCTCTCTCTCTCTCTCTCTCTCTCTCTCTCTGTCTCTCTCTCTCTCTGTCTGTGTGTGTGTGTGCACATGTAAAATGGTCACTGCATTCTCTCTTGACTTTTTCTTATATATTTTTTAAGGGATCAAAGCTTGTAAGTGAGAATTTGGTATTCCTGTGCATATCCAAATAAATGTATGTCCCATTTCCAACCCTTTCACCCACATAGCTCAGTTGTTGATTGGACTTGACTTCTCATCAATAAAGTGGCAGAAAAAAACATTGACCCTTTCTGCCACTACCGGACACGACTATGACCGTGAGAGCTAATGCAGTGCCATATCTGAAGTACATTGCATGAAACATTTATAACATCCTTATGATGCCTTGTTAAACATCAACATATTTATCATGCCTTATTAAACATTAATAACATATTTATGATGCCTTATTAAACGTTAATAACATATTTATTAAGCGTTAATTACACATGCTTCATGCTTCAGAGGGCCTTGTCCTGCAGATCAAATTGATCAGTGTTGATTATTCAGTGTAACATTTCTAGTGTTGATTCAAGAGTTAAATTAACTCTGTAAGAGTGACATTAGTGGTTTAAAAGAACCAGAGTTATTGTTTTACACTGTGGAGAGCCACCAGTGTTGACGTTAATAACCAGAGTTATTGTTTTACACTGTGGAGAGCCACCAGTGTTGACGTTAATAACCAGAGTTATTTTTTACCACTGTGGAAGAGCCACCATTGTTGACGTTAATAACCAGAGTTTTGTTTTACACTGTGGAGAGCCACCAGTGTTGACGTTAATAACCAGAGTTATTGTTTTACACTGTGGAGAACCACCAGTGTTGACGTTAATAACCAGAGTTATTGTTTTACACTGTGGAGAGCCACCAGTGTTGACGTTAATAACCAGAGTTATTGTTTTACACTGTGGAGAGCCACCAGTGTTGACGTTAATAACCAGAGTTATTGTTTTACACTGTGGAGAGTAAACCAGTCCAATGAAAACCACACCCATCATTATTATATTTCCCAGCATGCTCGACAGCAGGTAGATCTTTTAGGATTGTTTTAATCTTATGCTACACAAAAATAAATAATATACATTTTTCTAAACTAATCCAATCAGTTAGTTAGATCTTATTTTCTTTATTCGGTTTAAATGTTTAAATGGTTTAAATGGTTGAGGTATTTCCTAACCCTGACAGTCATTCTGAATGCAGGTTGCAGTTTTACACTGTAGGTGTTGCGTATTACTAGAGCTATGCAAACACCACAATCAAGTTCCTTTGAACACTTTAAGAGGAAAATGGGGAACACTGCAACAGAGTTACATATTTAACACTTTCAAAAGTGTTATTTTAACACCAGTACAGTCAGACTCATATGTAAACAATATATAGTGTACATTTTATACTTTCAGAGTTAAATGTACACCATTGAATTTGCTGTGTGCTGTTCCCTGACTCTACCAGCCACTCTTCTAATAATTAAGGAGAGGTGAGGAGGATGTCACTAATAAATAGTTTTTTTACTTAGTAAAAAAGCAGTAATTGTAGGCAGAAATGACTGAACTGAGGTCAACCTACTCTTTAATTTCAATAAAAAAATAAACCTTGAATTCGAGTTTATTATACACAGAACAGACGAGTGAAACGTTGATGACAATGCTTGAAATAACTCTATAAAACGTTTGATGCAGAATTTACACAACTCAGTAGAAAATTGGCCTGTTGTCGTAATAAGGTGTAAATAAATATTGACCTCTGGTGGTATGATTTAGAACTGGTCATTTATACAATATTACACTCCTGGACTGTAGGTGGCAGTATACACTTGTAGTTGGTCACCAAACGCCACTAATTAAGACAGAAGAAGACATATGAGGAAGTTTTGCCTTTTTTCTTTGTTTTGGATCTTCAAGTGCATATTTGTCATACTTCGGAAACCTTTAGCTAGCGTACAAATAACGAGCTTCTAGTCTACAACGCAACTTCATGCAATTTTATGATTTTGTTTTGATTGAACACGTGAGTTAGTTTAGTATACATCATTTCTGTCGACTACTAACGTAACGGTAGCTAGCTAGTTAGCAAATACAGTCAGGAGCATTTCTTTGATGTCAATCTCCGAAGGCTTGCTCAAATCATGACGGTGAGTGCCAGCTATCCATAACCCACTGCACTGCTGGAAAGTAAACCATTTATTAATCAATTTACATGTTGTATGGGTTGTGTCAGTTAACTCTTAATCATGACTCCAATTCCATTGCATTACGTTGAGCCATTGGACGTCCCCTAGGTGTTTTTAGTAACGCAGGTGTATTAACTAGCGTTGCTTTCAATTGTATTGGTTTGCACAAAAACCGTCTGTGGGAAGCCAGAAGTTAAATACAATTACATTTCAAGTTACTGTGCTGGTGGGCAGGACGGTTGATCATTGAGACAAAATATCTAAAGGATCATATTATTAAACAGACTTTCCAAACATGAGTCTGATGTAGAACCACTTTCTCTCTTCTTACCTTGTCAAAATAAAAGTCCCCACAAGACTTTTATTTTGACATGACGTAAGCAGAGAGGAAGTGGGTCTAAAACAGACCCACCTTTGGAAACTGTTTAATAATCGATCCTTTAGATATTTTGTATCAAATTCCCCTGTCATAATGACCAACTGTCCTGCCCACTAGCATTGAATCAGATGGCTCATTCATCACAAAACCAACTGATATTGCCAACTACTTTAATACTTTTTTCATTGGCAAGATTAGCAAACTTAGGCATGACATGCCAGCAACAATTGCTGACACTACACATCCATGTATATCTGACCAAATGATGAAAGACAAGGACTGTAATTTTGAATTCTGTAAAGTGAGTGTGGAAGAGGTGAAAAAAGTATTGTTGTCTATTAACAATGACAAGCCACCGGGGTCTGACAACTGGGATGGAAAATTGCTGAGGATAATAGCGGACGATAATGCCACTCCTATTTGCCATATTTTCAATTTAAGGCTACTAGAAAGTGTGTGCCCCTCAGGCCTGGAGGGAAGCAAAAGTCATTCCGCTACCTAAGAATAGTAAAGCCCCCTTTACTTGCTCAAATAGCCGACCAATTAGCCTGTTACCAACCCTTAGTAAACTATTGGAAAAAAATTGTGTTTGACCAGATACAATGCTATTTTACTGTAAACAAATTGTCAACAAACTTCCAGCATGCTTATAGAGAAGGACATTCAACAAGCACAGCACTTACACAAATGACTGATGATTGGCTGAGAGAAATTGATGATAAAAAGATTGTGGGGGCTGTTTTGTTAGACTTCAGTGCGGCTTTTGACATTATCGATCATAGTCTGCTGCTGGAAAAACGTATGTGTTATGGCTTTACACCCCCTGCTATAATGAGGATAAAGAGTTACTTGTCTAACAGAACACAGAGTAGAGTCAGGCATTCCCCAAGGCAGCTGTCTAGGCCCCTTGCTTTTTTCCATCTTTACTAACGACATGCCACTGGCTTTGAGTAAAGCCAGTGTGTCTATGTATGCGGATGACTCAACACTATCAGCTACCACAGCGACTGAAATGACAGCAACACTTAACAAAGAGCTGCAGTTAGTTTCAGAATGGGTGGCAAGGAATAAGTTAGTCCTAAATATTTCTAAAACTAAAAGCAATGTATTTGGGACAAATCATTCACTAAACCTCAACTAAATCTTGTAATGAATAATGTGGAAATTGAGCATGTTGAGGAGACTAAACTGCTTGGAGTAACCCTGGATTGTAAACTGTCATGGTCAAAACATATTGATATAACAGTAGCTAGGATGGGGAGAAGTCTGTCCATAATAAAGCGCTGCTCTGCCTTCTTAACAGCACTATCAACAAGGCAGGTCCTACAGGCCCTAGTTTTGTCGCACCTGGACTACTGTTCAGTCGTGTGGTCAGATGCCACAAAGAGGGACTTAGGAAAATTGCAATTGACTCAGAACAGGGCAAGCACGGCTGGCCCTTAAAAGTACACGGAGAGCTAACATTAATGACATGCATGTCAGTCTCTCCTGGCTCAGAGTGGAAGAGAGATTGACTTCATCACTGCTTGTTTTTGTAAGAGGTGTTGACAAGCTGAATGTACCGAGCTGTCTGTTTGGAATACTGGCACACAGCTCGGACACCCATGCATACCCCACAAGACATGCCACCAGAGGTCTCTTCACAGTCCCCAAGTTCAGAACAGACTATGGGAGGCGCACAGTACTACATAGAGCCATGACTACAGGGAACTCTGTTCCTCATCAGGTAACTGATGCAAGCAGTAGAATCAGATTTAAAAAAAAACAGGTACAAATACACCTTATGGAA